AGTAGTTTCGGTGAAGAGGTTCCCGCACTGCGATACTGTAGCTACGTGATCCAGCAGCAGCTTTGTTGTGGCATGGTGTATCAACTGCTGTTATCCCAATATCACATCATTCAATACATCAAGAATGAGGTCGAGTGAGCTTCATTTCATCTTCACCCTTTCGGCTTACTCACGTTTTGATTTGCATGACACAATCTCGTAGGTTTCCTCATTGGTCGCTAAAACCTAGGGTTCTGACACATAAGTGGTCGCGTAGCGCGCTAAATTTGCGACCGTAACTCTCTTTTCAATTGACTTCTTGACAAGTGCTTTTTGTCGGTCGCAAATGGGCGGTCGCTTAGGTACTGCCCACAGTTGACGGTGCAGGCGATTAGGTGTTCAGGTAAGAAGAAAATAATACGTATCGATCCATCGGGGTACCCCCAAGAGGCCCGTCGCGCGGCAAGAAGGCAGAGTCGGCGGACGAGTTGCAGCGCGTGGTGTGCGATGTAGGACACTCTATTTAACTTGACGCGAAATCCCTATAGTACGCGCGCGACTCGTCCGCTGACTTTGCCTTCTTGCCGCGCGACGGGCCTCCTGGGGGTACCCCGATCCATCGAATATAAGCGAGTAGGCGATTAGGCGATCTCCAGTTAGCGCAGTTAACCAAATCGATACGTTTGCAATCTTAAACAGGTGTTCGCGTAATCGCCTAACGCCTACTCGCCTCTGCGCTCAATCGATACGCATTCTTTTTCCTTTTAGTTCAATTGCTCAATAACCTGGTCGCATGTGCAATTTCGAACTGTAAACCTTGCCTAAAAGTACTGCAGGAGGCCTTCTTCAGATGTGATTCTAACCGTGAAACAATTCAGAAACAGTTCCTGGCCTAGCAACACTAGCTGTAAACGATATTATTGCTAATTGGAAAATTGAACAGAAACTTGGCGAAGGCGGTTTCGGTGCCGTGTATAAGGTTGGTAAGGATAGACGGCTCTTATCATCGCACTGTTCTCACGAATCGCCTGCTTTTAACGGGCACGCACGCGTGAGGGGAACGGATAGCCTCGAGTATGAAAGCAGTTTTGAAGGGAGGAGTCAACTCGAAGGTGTTAAGACAACTCACCTATGACCCGTAACCAGGTTGTCCCCACTTTTGGAGGAATTGCTATTCATGCCACGCGTGTCTGGAGGAATTGCTATTCATGCCACGCGTGTCTGGAACTAGTTGTTGGGAAGCGCCAGGGCGATGGGGCCCCGATTTGTGCACTGTACTATCCGCTGTATCCTATTGCTTGTGTTTTGGATATGATGCCGATGTTGGAATGCCCTGCCGTGTGAGAAAACGGCGCGGACCCCAGAATGACCCGCTAGTGTCTAGCCCCCCAGTGAGAGAGATGGTTGATCCGCACCCCATCGTGACTTAGTTGACATCGAGCGGCGTCTCCGAGAGGAAGACTTCATATACCCCAACCGTCCCGTGATACCCGTTTTCTGGCCTTTCACTTGTGCTGATCTTCACATGTGGAACTACCACCTCGTGGAGTGACTGGAAGAGCGCTATGTACCACGGGTGTTATCACAATCACAGGATGTTATAGTAAGATAAAACTCAAGAGTGAATCATTTGTGCAGAGGATTCGAAGCGTGCAATACCTTAAAAGAGTTCTGCCGCTTAGCGCGTCGTATGGCCAGTTGAAGTACTACATATTTGATCGTAGCTATTCACATTGTTACTTATATTGTTCACTCCAATAATTATCAACCGTCAAGGATTCTCGACGTGCAGAATACAAATCGTTCTCTGACCAGGTTTCCGATGTCACTTCATCTACACATACTTCCTATGCTCTCAAAACGGAACGAATCACTTCACCGACAAAGGTTCTAAGATGGAAGTTGTGGTCTTACGGTGAGATTCAATCTGACAACTTTTGGATTATCGGAGACGCCTAAACTATCATCCTACATTGCATTCCGCTACTGGGCATTAGAAATGAGCTGGATACTCGATGGAGGCCCGTCGCGCGGCAAAAAGGCAGAGACGCAGTTAGGTCTGCGGACGAGCTCCAGCGCATACTGCAAGGATTCGCGTCACTTGAATATAATGTCCCATAGTACGTCCCACAGACGGACACGTTACTCGTCCCTAAGTCTGCCCTGGATCTCCGCGATCCTGCGCCACCTATCGCAACATGCGGCGAACTGATAATTGACGCCATCAAGACGGTTTGCGGTAGTGTTAAAGCAAGCGTCTCTAATTATTCCGACGCTGAAGGTTCGGAGCTCGGTGCTTCTGTTAGACAGTGCACTGAAAGGCCTCCGCGGTCACCGCTTTATTTCTTGTGTCCTGATCCACAATTTTACGCTTGAAGTATAGACTGGAAACCACTGCAATTCCTCGATGATGCAAATGTATTTCAGGGCATTGAAGAAAGCTCGTGCTACTCACTGTTGCGATATTCTCGATTCTGGTCGAGCACTCGGCTTTAACTTTATCATCATGACACTTGTCGGAGCGTCGTTAATGGTGTGTTTTATTTCGACACTGGACTATTAAAGTCAAACCCCGGGATTAGCCTGACTTGTGGAATGGATAACACAGGATTGTAAGGTTGCCATCCTACCTCTGTGCTGCAAAGTTGCGCGGGTTACGCGCTAATCTTAGGGTCTGCAACCGTCGACACCCCGTTTGAACGCCTTACCACCCACTCGATATCGGGTTGGATCTCTGATGTCTCATTGCACTTCTGTGACACCTCCTCGCTTCGTTCCACCACGACTTTGAAGGTACAGGCTTGATTTCGAGAGATTCCAAAGTTCTCTAGTTATATCTTTCCACTTCTCAGGGCCGTAATGCCAGGCTCATAATCACACGAAGCCGCGCTTGCACCAATTTTATCCGGGCGCTTTAAGTCGTTGAGAAAGTGTAGACTTAGACCATAGAAAGATTCCCATGTTCGAAACTTGATGTTCGACCGCATTAAAGGCAGCGACGAATTGCTCCTACAATCCTCACCTTCAACCATGAGAAGCGCTGAGCGACGGTGGCTATTGCTATGAAATTTTTGAAAAGAGATTTCCTGAGTGTCGAAGGTTTAGATGGAGGTAGCGTAATGGTAAGAGGCACCGCGATGAAGTGGATTCGTCAAGGCTTTCCATCCCTTTGAGGTCGATTATTCATTGGCACCAAAATTGTGGCGTGGGAACATTATCACGTACAATGCACAACACCAATGGTCCTAAGCGTGTGCAATGGACTAGGCGTGGCTCCGTTCCAATTTTCAGGAAATTCGGACATGCATGGCGCGCACTATGGCGAATGACAAACTTCGTTTTTCTCATCGTTTCTTCAGTCGTTGCATTTTGCAGGAGCTTCGAAAGGCTAACAAAGTAAAACTCAATGCGTTCACGATGGGATGCGCCTTGTCAGTCGGACTCCAAACGTTAGAGTCCATACAGGAGCTGCATAACGTCGGGTAATGTGCAGTGTACTTTCCATCTATCTGCGGCCACCAACTCTCTGGAACTTTCACTGGAAACTGGCAATGCACTTCCCTAAAATGGGATTTTTGTATATAGAATGAGCATAGGGGGAAAGGCCGGTTGAGGGTGATGGAATTGGGGGGGGGAGGAGGGAGGAGGTAAAAGCACTCCTTGGGGGCCATATTAGTCAAATTTCCTGAACACTCGGCTTACCTTCCACACAGATCATTGGAAAGGGGGGGGGGGGGGCCACGGTTCTTGTAACAGCAATGTACCTACTGCAACAGATCGTTACAATGAACATAAGGTCGGGTCAGACTTTGCGAATCCGCGGCTCGTTAGCGGGTCCACGTGCTATCATTTTGAGTCGAGTTTATATTGTGGAACACTTGAACAAAACACACAATAAGGTCGGAGGTCGCAGAATGAGAAGCATGCCAAGTCGAAAGGTATTTCGGGCTCTCTAAAGGTGCGGGCATGCACATTCCACAGCAGAAGATGTGCTCCAGTGGCCTGCAGGGCCATACCTGCTTGCGCTTCTGCCCGGCGATAAGTAACCCTTCGCTTACGCCTCTAGCAGCCAACCTACAGACTTTAGGAGACGCAGAGCAGAAAGCTCGCTACTGATGACACCAGCATCTGTGAATCTCGCTCCATTCTTTAAATTAGGGCCAAAGGAACACATAATTTCGGCTCTAGAGAGTTTTCTTGCCTTTTCTTGATCCCTGCATAACTGACGACCTCTACCTTGACTTCTACCTGAGTCTTCATCGCGAACTACTCCATTTAATTGCAGCTTTCTTCACCGGGATTATTTAAAACCAGCAAATTTTGCCATATGCCTTGATGACGTGCGCAAAATCTATCTTCTGGATTTTGGAATGTGCCGACGATACATCGACAATGAAAACGCTGTTCGGCGACCGCGATGGGCATCCGGATTCCGAGGAACGCAAAGGTCAGCTGGCATTTCGAGACCGTTTGAAATCTGGACGGTTGCTTAATGAGTTAGCCGTCATAAAAATCACTTTTTCTCAAAAACTAAGGGCATCAGGCACCACGGGTAATGGGATACATGTAAAGCAGTAGGCAATTCAAAAGATGACATGATGAAGATAAGGCAGTTTCAGATACGCGGCGATAAGCTGTCACATATCACGAGAAATGGCCAGAAAAGACGATCTGGAAAGTTGGCTCTATCAGCAAGTAGGTCGAAATTCTCATAAGCAGGGAAATCACTAATTACGGTAAGCAATGATAATTCAGATAGAACTTACATCTGGCGAGTTGCCGTGGAAATCGCTCGAGGACACTGTTGCGATTTGTAATGCCAAAGAAAAAGGGCGCACAACCGGTACGTCAAAGAAAGAGCTGTGAAAAAGATACGGTAATCTGCAGTCAGACGCAAGCACCGTGAATCAAAGCTGAATGATCTGTTCATGCTGAAGCTCCCAAAACCAGATCAAGTGTACCACTCCCACTGAAGGTAACTGAGGTAACGGCAAATGGCGTAATTATGCGCACGAGCCATTTCTCGAATTTTGTACTTACTTTCATACTCCGTGGTCAACTAATTGGCTAGCTTTGAGAGACTGAGGACATTGACATGAATTAGTAGAATTAGTAGTAGCAGTCTCAGCAAGTAGCTGTCTAGTCCATTGCTCTAACAAGCGCCTCTCCAGTTTTAAAATAAAACTAAAAGTTTTAAAATAAACTAAAAACGGAAGACTCGATCGCTGACCTATCCCCGGCTATTTGGCGCTATTTTATCCTTATTTTTTATTGATTTGCTAAACAAGTCTTCGCCAACCTTGTCAAATTTATGGATTCACTTGTACTCCAATGAAGGATGGTCTCCACTTAACCACTGGCAGGCTAATCGTTCCTTGTAAATGAAGTAGGATTGAAGAAGGAATAGCATAAGTTGCGGGTGCATGAAGGCAGTAGGGATCGTAGAGGCAAAGTCACATAAGTAAACCGCCTGGGCACGTTTTTCTTAGCGCTTTCTTCAATTCTCGCCCCTGCATCTTCAGGAACTCTGGATGGAATGTGTCGTTTTGCACCATAGCCCGCCATGCTCCCAGTTCCCTATAGTTGTTCCTCAAAGTTTTCTCGAAATTTCGAAAAGTGGTCAAGCAACTCACCGAAGTTATTCGTATTGCTGTGTCTGTATTTGTTCATTCGAATATTTAGTACCTAGTTTTCGAAATTCTTTTGAACAAATGACACGGAATTAAAGGAAAGCGATCTACGATAAAAAGGTAGCGCTTCGGGGAAGCATATGCAGCATACGAA